ATTAGATAGACAGCTTCGACTCCGCCCACCCCCCCCCCCTTTCTTTTCTCTCTCTCTCTCTCTCTCTCTCTCTCTCTCTCTCTCTCTCTCTCTCTCTCTCTCTCTCTCTCTCTCTCTCTCTCTCTCTCTCTCTTTCAATCTACCTATCTAGTCATTTATACTTCTACTTATTACTCTCTCTATTCATCTAACTACCTCCTTCGTTTTCTTTCACTTCCGACATTCTCTTGGGTCGTCGATTCAATTGCATACTACCTGGGTAAGGTCTACCTCTTCACGACCACATCAGAGGAACAGTCTCAAATACAGACGTATCTTTAGACCCCCACTCCTTAAATATCACCATACATATATAATGAATAACTACCAAAAGCGACACAGAAGAAGAAGAAAAAAAAGTGATGGCTCTCCGTTAACCAATCAACCACCGACCAGATGACATTCACACCAACAAAATCTCATTTACAACCACATCGATGATACTGGCGATCGACAGTGATACATACACTCACTCGCGCTTCCGAAAGGTCAACGTATTTTGTCCCGTCTCACTCCTGATGGAATATACGGAAACGAAAGTTCTGTGTCTTCGATTCCATAATAAAATGTAATGGTGATATAAAAATGGGAAATTGCATAAAAATTATAATAATAAAAGCAGAACACTACATGAAATTATAATATAAATGACCGAATAGACAGAGAGAGCGAAAACGAGATAGATAGATAGACAGACAGACATAGATAGAGAGAGAAAGAGAGAGAGAGAGAGAGAGAGAGAGAGAGAGAGAGAGAGAGAGAGAGAGAGAGAGAGAGAGAGAGAGAGAGAGAGAGAGAGAGAGAGAGAGAGAAGAGAAGAAAATAAACAACAGAACCAAGCTAGTGAGAATCAGAAACAGAACAACAACCTGGCAGAGAAGGGCGCAAAGGAAATGCAACTCCTGCACACCGAACCCCTAGTGGCGGAGCGGCTAGCCCATTGCCCTGGTCAGTGCCCTCCCTTGATAATGCCAAGCAGTCACTGTGGCTCTGTGGATAGTAACCCCGTTTTTTCCCCTCCTTATGATGCTGAACCCAATTTTACACTCGTCTGTCCACTTTCATAACATCGCAGGATCGACTTTTTACGCCCAGTAGTGAACATTTGTATCGTGCGAGTAGACTGGAGGTTATAACATTATTAGAGTTATGCATGGCTTTTTTTCGCTAGGTTTAGTATTCTTAGGT